AGCTATTTATGTGTACGTAGCAGGGTTCTCCATTAAAATGTAAATATTTTAAATAATTATTAAACAATATTTAAGAAATAATTAAATATTTTATTATTAAACTTTGTTACCTACCCAAGACCAAATTTTTATAGGCCCTGGCAAACCCTAATCCATTTTCTCCACCCTCATCCCGCAGATGTGTTTTGAAAAGCAATGTATAGTTGCTAACTGACATATAATGTGTTTTGCTCGCAGTAGTAACACTTTTTTTGAACTGTCTCACTGGTAGATGGTTTAATTAGCAACCAAGCTTACAGTTTCTTTAAATTTTCTTCTCTTCAGTCTTCCATTTTTGACATTCAGATTTGTGTTTCTTTTTTCTGAGGTGACTTTAACTCAAAATGTTCTATTTTATTTCATAAATAAGCAGTACACAGTGGTCAGATTTTTCTTATGTAACTGTATACTTCTCATGACTAATAACAAAGGAAAAAACTTACACTAAAGATGCTGGCAAAGATTTCTGTAAAATATCATGGCAATATTGATGGTTTAATACAACAAAAATGTATTTAGTCACACATTTCTTGATCCTGCAGCAAGTCCCTCTGTGACATCGAGAATCTTGGGTTTGATTGTAACTAAAGCGTACATATATACCAATACATTTTGGATTGGGGGATACTATTTTTGTAGAATCTCCAGAACAACAAATTGAGTAGTGTACCAATGTCAATGAATGGTTGTTAAATTATTTCCATTTACACTTTTGGAAATGAACTGTTTAAGGATGCTGAGTTTAAGAATGTTCTCAGTGAAAAAGGCAACAAATCAGATTTGAGATTATTTCAAACTGATTTTCAGTATTAAACCACTAGTTGACTATTGTGTCATGTTGGTAGATATTCTGAATGTATTTCTTACTTGTTCTGCACTCTCCTGATAGGATTAATGTTGAGCCCTGATGGAAGGTTGCTTGCACTTTCTCACTAGTGGAATACCGTATGTTTCCATATTACGTGGTTGCTTTGTTGTTTCTTCTTAGAGAGAATGGTTTTTTTGGTTTGTATAGTCTTTTAGTTATTAGCTGTGGTATCTTCTATTGCTTTTGTATTGACAGAAGAACTGAAGTGAACTCTTTCACTGCCACATTTAGAAATAAAAAAAACCTCCTAGTGTCAGGTTTATTTTCAGACAATAATAATAAACTAATAGACAAATTTAATATTTTTTTTACTCATCAGAAACTTGAAACTGGTACACTTTGGGAAGTTTGAAGAATATCCTTTCTTTATGGTTCTGATTAAGAACTTAGTACACGGGATCACATACAAAAATTGTAATGGTTTTAAAAGGAGAACCAAAACTCAAGCACTTTCATATACTTCACTATTCTTCTTCAGGAAAATAAAGAAGAGTCAAAAGGTTAGAAAAAATTAAATACTTGGCTAAGTTGTAATTAACATTTACTAAATGCGATATAATTGTTCCAACTGGACATATTTATGGAGTTTTATGCACCACAAATAATGCTATATTAACATGCTCAAAGTCTTGATAAACTTGTTCTTCGGTAATTACAAGTTGTTTGGAAATTTTGTTGTTGTTGTTAGATCAGTAAATAAGATCAGTTAATTTTTGTAATTGTCTGCCAAATTGTTTATGGCCTTAGTAATGTAATCTTTATGACTTGGTAGTATTCCAAGTGTCTTATTTGAGTGTGCAATGATTCTACGAACATTTTCAAACTTGCTGTTTCTTCTGTTTGAGCTGTAATGTTTTCTGAAGTATTCATGAATAGCTTCTCTTTAGATATGTAAGTAATGGATTAAAGCTATCTAGAAAAGGTTCTCAAATTTGGAAAATGCTCTGTTGTATGTCTGTACAACTTGTAGCCTGTAGCTAGGTTTCATACAGTGCGTGAACATAAAAAGAGTTCCTTGTTTAAAGCCCCCTGGTGGCTCAGTGGTAAGTCTGAAGGCTTGTGGTGCTAAAAGTTAAGTATTGATATCCATGGTGGACAGAATATTGATAGCTCATTGTGTAGCTTTGTGCTGAACAACAAACAAATAAATTATGGTTAAAATTTCAGTTTGAATTTCAAATAAATATATTTCGAACTTCATGCATGTAATTCATATTTGAGTCATGTATTTAGTATAAATATAAATTTTCATCGCATTTAAATTAATTTTTAAAACTTAAAAGCATTATCTTTATTTATCATGTAGTTCTACGATATGTGGACATATATATATTTATATATATATTCCAGCATTTTAATAGCAATATCTTCCTCACTTCATCCCAAAACTGTTTATTTGCTGAGATTTCCTCAAGTGACACCTCTATTTTCCTTATTTTTAGAGCATGTGAGACATGAGTTCACTAATTGGCAATTAGCTGATTTTTTTAATTTTTTTGTCAGGAAAATAGCACATAATGACCAGAAATAGAAAGCTATTTTTCCCATTGGTGAATCGGTTAAGTGTTGGGGACAAACGTGTCTTAGAACTCAACTACCAATGGACTTAGATCTTGAATGTGAGGTTCATTTCATGCTCATATTTGACTTTTTATAAGTATTATGTTTTTCGTATAAAGCCAGATTTGTACTCTGTAAGAACATATAAATTTCTGAACTTACTTTCTTTTAAATTTGAGTAATTTTTTTTTTAAGCTAACTAATTTGTGTAGCTTTGACTTTAACTTGTGAGTTTTAGTTGGAGTAATTTTACTTAGATTATATTTAGTGAAGTGTACTTGTTGGTTTAACTGGAAATGTAGCTTTTTGAAGTTTTCATATTATAGTTTTGAGCTTAACATATAGTAAGAATACACCAGGATGATACAAGCTTTAAAATAAAGTCTTCACTATTTATCTTATCAGTTTGACACACACATACACCACTACACAGTTACCTTTATTTAGATTTATTTTGTTTATGTTTTTTTGTGAATAACCATTTGTGGACTTGCAAGTCGTACTTCAGTCAGTGTCGAATCTTTGTTCTCAAAGATCCTAGTTGTGGATTGGAGATATAATTATACTTCATGAGCTATTATTCTACAAGTTTCCAGTTAGTGGGCTTAACTGACTGCTTTTGCAAGAAAAAACCATTGTGCATAAGAAATATCACAGTATGTACATGTCTTATTTTCCTATGTTAGCACCTACACATATTTGGATACAGAAATTAAATTGAAAAGAAAAAATTAAGATTACTAAACTTTAATTTTATTCAATTCTTAAGAAATATATATAACTTTGTTAACTAACATTGCATAAAAAATTATTTAGTCCTTGAGCTTCTTTGTTTATGATTAACCAAGGAAGTGTATTTCCTTCGATGATAGTGATCATCTATTACAACAATACTCAGTTTTTTCTTGTTCTGAAAATATGCACGCACCTTACTATCTAAATAATCATGTGCATGCACATGCATCAGAGTTTTTAAAAAAGTCTAACGTTAGGTCATAGAATAACAACATAAGTTTATTTATTGGTAGTATTAAGTACGGTTAAGTTTAGCCTTAATAAACTAAAGCAAAAAATTTATACAATTTACAGTGTTAATCTATCTCTATCGAATATAGGCCATATTGATAAAGGCTTAACTAATGTTAGGCCTAAGACAAGTGGACTTTCAGATATCAGTGTCTGTGATTAGAATTATTTTGTACTGTTGCAATAAAGAATCTAATTTGACCTCAAATGTTTTGTGGGTCTTCGCTAGTGTCTAATTAAAACATAATATAAGGCATCAGCTTAGCATGATAGGGTTGAGTGAACAGAACAGTTTTAATTTTATATTTGAAAGTTTGCCTTGTAGTATTTCTAAGAATTTACATCTCAGTGGAGTACGGTGTAGTAGAATTCACATTCATTATTACAAAACAGTTCTTCTTTTTGAAATACTGTAGATTTATGTGTTTATAAAAGTCTTCCTTAATGAAAAAATAGTCCAGATGACACTATTGGAGACTTGAAAAAATTGATAGCAGCTCAAACTGGAACTAAGTGGGATAAAATAGTTCTGAAAAAATGGTAAGTTACCTGTATTGTCATGGAAAGCAGTTTCAATATTCATTACGTATATGACAGGTACACTGAATAGAATTTATATTTTTTAAGTAATACCCTCAATGCTTATCTTGTTCCAGAAGGTTGCGTAATATGACTTTCTAAAGGTGACTGACTGAATTAGAGTTGGGCAATTAACTTCCTAGATTTTGACCAACCTCGTAACCATGAAACTATACATGCTATCTCTCTAAATGTACTAATTGGAATTTCAAAAAATTGGGCAACTTTTAGTAAACATTAGAAGTCGGTTGTATACGAGAAAAATTAGATTTTTTACTGAAGATTTTTTTTTCATCTTACAATTTTCATATTAATCTTCAAGGTTTTGTCGAAACGTTGTACATTTGCTGTTATATTAAAGTTTTTCTTCATTACCCATTCAAGCCGTCTCCAGCCATTATTAGTCTCAAAGTGGGTTCCTCGTCATCGAATTTGAATTCACACTATGTAGTTGAAAAAAAGCACAGTTTGATAAAGATAAAATATTTATATCTTTTTATGAATAAGATATACTTGTCTCCATAAAAACAACAATTTTTGATGTATTTTTATTTAAACTAAAAAGCTATTTTTCTTGAGATAATGGTCTGTTATTCCCATCACTATTATTCAAATCTAAAAATGCACATTTCATGTGAAAAGCTTAATTTTGTATGTGCATGTCTATGCATCCAAACTAAACACTTTACGTAAGTAATTATCATCATCGTAAATATGAGTCAATATCAAATGAGTAATGTCAGTGTGAAACACAACTAATAATGTGTCACACTTTCTTGTATTCGTAGTGTTAACCCTGCGGTGTTCACTATGATCTCTTCATTAGAGTTGACTAAATCCTTCTTCAAGCAGTAAAAGTTTGTGTGTGCGTGCACATCTGTTGTATGTAACAGCTTCTACGGAGAATTTGTACTAAATGTGTGATATATTTTTTTATCTTTACCTTATGTTTTTAACTTGTGTACTTGTTTATTTCTCTATGAAGTACCAGAATGTTTGTACTGCAAAAGCTTATTTCATTGAAGTTTTTCTCCTGTTGTTTAGGTACACGGTTTTTAAGGATCATATTAAACTAGAAGACTATGAAATCCACGATGGTATGAATCTGGAACTTTATTATCAGTGAAATCCAATTCAGTTGAAGTAATTTTACATCAACATGAAAGATCACCCAGGAACTGGAGTTTTCACACGTGTTTCATGTTTAGAGCTAAAGATATGTCAATGTGAAATAAGATTGACACTTCTGAAACTTATCTAACTGTGTGAATTTCCAGAGTCAAAGATGTTACAAAAGAATTGAAGATTAGACATAAACAAAAACTGAGTTCTTAAAGACAATTTGTTGAATTTTCTTATTAAATGCTCTTCCATGTAAACCATATGTTTGAATTGTTCCATCACCCTTATGTTTCTCTCTTTAACGGTTTTGAAACGGTAAGTTTTAGTAATATAGTAAAAAAAAATTAGTATTATCTTTTGATTTTGTTAGACGAAAACAGTCCATGTCAATTACGTTCAAGTGTTTCATATTACTACTTTACAAATGTGCACAATTTAACTGTAGTATCATCTTTTAAAGATGTTTAATTTCGTACATTTAAAGAACCATTATGAAACCTAAGGAAGAAAATCATCATTTCTATGTAAAACAATTCTTTACATACAGTTTGCTGTATTGAACATGTTAACTTTAATAGCAGAAAGTAATTATTATGATTTCATGAACATTTTGGAAATAAAGTGTTGCTTTCGTTAACTCTGACCAACTTTAGAATATCATTTATTAAAATCAACATGTGTATGATTTCTGATTTTTTGTATCTAATGTATGAATTAAATTTTTGTTAAAGAAACTGCTTTTTTTTTATCCCAACCCAGAAGTTCTTACGATTTTTTGGCTTCTACAACAAAAGATTTTACTTCTAAATAGCCCGGCATGGCCAGGTGGTTAGGGCACTCGATTCACAATCTGCGGGTCGCGGGTTCGAATCCCCGTCACACCAAACATTCTCGCCCTTTCAGCAGTGGGGGTGTTATAAAGTGACGGTCAATCCCACTATTCGTTGGTGAAAGATTAGCCCAAGAGTTGGCGGTGGGTGGTGATGACTAGCTGCCTTC